TGGAGCCATTGACACTGATGTGAGTTTGTTTACTTAGAAACATGCTTAGAAATATGTAATATTATTAACATCAGTCGTATAATGTGTGTAAGCAAGCGCTTTGATTCTCAGCGAGGGAGATGTGCCGGCAGCCTGATATAATTGCATGATATAAATCATAAACCTCAGGGACTTCATCAGCAGCGTTGATGCTATCATCTTGTGTACTGTGAAAGAAAATAATGACAGGTTCTGATGGAAGGAAATACATCTCAATTGCCTATTACTCATATCTGAAATGCATCTGTGATTTCAGGTTGCTGCTTGGGACAACAACATTGTTTGCCGAGTTTTTTGCTATGAAAATGGCAGATGATTGCCTCGGGAGACAGCAGAGTGCTATAATAACTGTGGCGTTTCACTCTTTTATCTCCTTTAATAATTTAGCCTACACTTGGTGCATGAAATCACATGTTTAGAGTGTGATACTCATTAATGTGAGTGTTCTTCAGAACTCAATTTGAATTCCGCCAACATATTCATTTGTGTATATATATATTTGAAATTTAACTACAATAAAATTAAAGCTGTCAGTCGATTAAAATAATTTAATTGCATACACTGATCAATTAATAAAATTAATAATTCACTATAATGGTATTCTGAGAAAAAGTTTTTATAGTAAATCATTGATCAGGTGAAAATTTGGCTTCTAAAATCAATATGATTTGCTTTATTTTTCATGTAATTATATAATACATAATGTAATGCTGAATAATACTTGTATTCAGCAAGGATGCATTAAATTGACAGAAAAGACTTTTATAATGTGATGTTTTATGATGTTACTTTTTATTTTATTTTAAAATAAATGCTTTTTTTGTTTTACTTTCTAACTGTTAGGGTCCAATTCTCACTATTAACTAGTTACATAATGCCTTATTCTGCATGACCATTTTCTACATTCCTGAACCCACCCAACACCTAAACTTAACTACCTTACTAACTATTATTAATTAGCAGTAATTAGGAGTTTATTGAGGCAAAAGTCACAGTTAATAGCTAGTTAGTGAGAATTGGACCCTAAACTAAAGTGTGATTAGAGTGATTTCTGAAGGATCATGTGACACTGAAGACTGGAGTAATGATGCTGAAAATTCAGCTTTGATCACAGGAATATATTACATTTTAAAATATACTCAAATTGAAAACGGTTATTTCGAATTCTAATAATATTTCGCAATATTACAGTTTTACTGTGTATTTGATCAAATAAATGAAGCCTTGGTGAAATCAAGAACAGTGTGTATAACCAAATTTAAAAGTGTTGCATAATATAAGGGAAATTCAGATCTAACTGTTTCTTGAGGGCAAGTGGGAGAAAAAGTATTAGCTTTTCAGTTAATAGCTCATCAGTTAGCGCTGCAGATATTACGAAGTTGACGTGAAGGTCGTGCATGCAGCGTATCACTGAGTGATTCAATTTTGATTAGACAGTTACATAAATCCAATTAGGAAATTGCACCCATCTGCTACCTCATCTGAAGACTAATAATTAAATAAGACTGTGATAAAGAGTTTTAGTGTCCTCTGCATTTCTGCAGCCATGAACGGCTTTAGGGTTCAGAGGAACTCAAAACAAGGATGGATGGATGGATGGAAGTGAATGGATGGATGAAGTGGATGGATGGAAGTGGATGGATGGATGGAAGTGGATGGATGGATGGAAGTGGATGGATGGATGGATGGAAGGGGATGGATGGATGGAAGTGGATGGAAGTGGATGGATGGATGAAGTGGAGGGATGGATGAAGTGGATGGATGGATGAAGTGGATGGATGGATGGAAGTGGATGGATGGATGGAAGTGGATGGATGGATGGATGGAAGGGGATGGATGGATGGAAGTGGATGGAAGTGGATGGATGGATGAAGTGGAGGGATGGATGAAGTGGATGGATGGATGAAGTGGATGGATGGAAGTGGATGGATGGATGGATGGAAGTGGATGGAAGTGGATGGATGGATGGATGAAGTGGATGGATGGATGGATGGAAGTGGATGGATGGATGGATGGAAGTGGATGGATGGATGGATGGAATTGGATGTAAGTGGATGGATGGATGGATGGAATTGGATGTAAGTGGATGGATGGATGGATGGATGGAAGTGGATGGAAGTGGATGGATGGATGGATGGATGGAAGTGGATGGATGGATGGATGGAAGTGGATGTAAGTGGATGGATGGATGGATGGAAGTGGATGGAAGTGGATGGATGGATGGATGGATGGAAGTGGATGGATGGATGGAAGTTGATGGATGGATGGAAGTGGATGGATGGATGGATGGATGTAAGTGGATGGAGGTTGATGGATGGATGGATGTAAGTGGATGGATGGATGGAAGTTGATGGATGGATAGATGGAAGTGGATGGATGGATGGATGGATGGAAGTGGATGGATGGATGGATGGAATTGGATGGATGGATGGATGGATGGATGGATGGATGTAAGTGGATGGATGGATGGAAGTGGATGGATGGATGGAAGTGGATGGATGGATGGATGGAGATGGATGGATGGATGGATGTAAGTGGATGGATGGATGTAAGTAAATGGATGGATGGAAGGATGGATGGATGGATGGATGTAAGTGGATGGATGGATGTAAGTGAATGGATGGATGGAAGGATGGATGGAAGTGGATGGATGGATGGATGGATGGAAGGATGGATGGAAGTGGATGGATGGATGGATGGATGGAGATGGATGGATGGATGGATGTAAGTGGAGGGATGGATGTAAGTGAATGGATGGATGGAAGGATGGATGTAAGTGGAGGGATGGCTGTAAGTGAATGGATGGATGGAAGGATGGATGGAAGTGGATGGATGGATGTAAGTGGATGGATGGATGTAAGTGAATGGATGGATGGAAGGATGGATGGAAGTGGATGGATGGATGGATGGAGATGGATGGATGGATGGAGAACTGTAGGGTGACGGCACTGGACTCACACTAAGTGCTTTAATGGCCTCTGGCTTCACTTTCACATGATTTCATGTTAAACTGGGGGACAATTCATTAGGTGATCCCGGAGCACAATCACACCCCGCAGAGAAAGGCTCTAAATGAAACAGCGCAAAGGTGGAAAAAAATGAGAAAAAGATGAGAAGGCACTGGTGCTGTGGAGTAGAAAGTAAAGAAGAAAAAAAAAGAAAAAAAGAGATTTTCTTCTCTTAGCTGCCTGTAGACATGGAAACGGTGGCAGATGGTGCACTGAAGGGTCATAGTATTTTTTTTTTTAAATTGCACTTTCCATTTTGCTCTCTTAATTCACCCAAAAATGAAAAGTATCCCATCATTTCCTCACCCTCAAGATATCCTAGGCATATATGAGTTTCTTCTTTCAGCCAAACACAATCTGAGTTATATTAAAACATTTCCTGGCTCTTCTTTATAATGGGAGTTAATGGAATCAGAGATTTGGAAGCCCAGAAAAGTCCATCCATCCATCATAAAAGTAATCCCTACGAGTCCAGGGGTTAATAAAGGCCTTCTGAAGCATGTGTTTTTGTAAGGAACATGTCCATATTTATAACTTTATAAAATATAAATCACTGGCTTCCAGTAACGGCTGTATGCGAGTTTAGTTCCGGTGGAAGAGTGACCTCTGACCTGATGCATGACGAGTGACCTCTGACCTGACGAGTGACCTCTGACCTGACGCATGATGAGGGACCTCTGACCGACACATGACGAGTGACCTCTGACCCGACACATGACGAGTGACCTCTGACCTGACACATGATGAGTGACCTCTGTCCTGACGCATGACTAGTGACCTCTGAGCCGACACATGACGAGTGACCCCTGACCCGGCGCATGACGAGTGACCTCTGTCCTGACGCATGACGAGTGACCTCTGACCCGACACATGACGAGTGACCTCTGTCCTGACGCATGACGAGTGACCTCTGACCCGACGCATGACGAGTGACCTCTGTCCCGACACATGACGAGTGACCTCTGACCCGACACATGACGAGTGACCTCTGTCCTGACGCATGACGAGTGACCTCTGACCCGACACATGACGAGTGACCTCTGTCCCGACGCATGACGAGTGACCTCTGACCCGACACATGACGAGTGACCTCTGTCCTGACGCATGACGAGTGACCTCTGACCCGACACATGACGAGTGACCTCTGACCCGACACATGACGAGTGACCTCTGACCCGACACATGACTAGTGACCTCTGACCCGACACATGACGAGTGACCTCTGTCCTGACGCATGACGAGTGACCTCTGACCCGACGCATGACGAGTGACCTCTGACCTGACGCATGACGAGTGTCCTCTGACCTGACGAGTGACCTCTGACCTGACGCATGACGAGTGTCCTCTGACCTGACGAGTGACATCTGACCCGGCGCATGACGAGTGACCTCTGTCCTGACGCATGACGAGTGACCTCTGACCCGACACATGACGAGTGACCTCTGTCCTGACGCATGACGAGTGACCTCTGACCCGGCGCATGACGAGTGACCTCTGTCCCGACACATGACGAGTGACCTCTGACCCGACACATGACGAGTGACCTCTGTCCTGACGCATGACGAGTGACCTCTGACCCGACACATGACGAGTGACCTCTGTCCCGACGCATGACGAGTGACCTCTGACCCGACACATGACGAGTGACCTCTGTCCTGACGCATGACGAGTGACCTCTGACCCGACACATGACGAGTGACCTCTGACCCGACACATGACTAGTGACCTCTGACCCGACACATGACGAGTGACCTCTGTCCTGACGCATGACGAGTGACCTCTGACCCGACGCATGACGAGTGACCTCTGACCTGACGCATGACGAGTGTCCTCTGACCTGACGAGTGACATCTGACCTGACACATGACGAGTGACCTCTGACCCGACACATGACAAGTGACCTCTGACCTGACGCATGACGAGTGTCCTCTGACCTGACGAGTGACATCTGACCTGACACATGACGAGTGACCTCTGACCCGACGCATGACTAGTGACCTCTGTCCTGACACATGACTAGTGACCTCTGACCCGACACATGACGAGTGACCTCTGACCCGACGTATGATGAGTGACCTCTGACCCGACGCATGACGAGGGACCTCTGACCCGACACATGACGAGTGACCTCTGACCCGACACATGACGAGTGACCTTTGACCCGACGTATGATGAGCGACCTCTGACCCGACGCATGACGAGGGACCTCTGACCCGACACATGACGAGTGACCTCTGACCTGACGCATGACGAGTGACCTCTGACCCGACACATGACGAGTGACCTCTGACCCGACACATGACAAGTGACCTCTGACCCGACACATGACGAGTGACCTCTGACCCGACGTATGACGAGTGACCTCTGACCTGACGCATGACCTCTGACCCGACACATGACGAGTGACCTCTGACCTGACGCATGACGAGTGACCTCTGACCCGACGCATGACGAGTGACCTCTGACCTGAGGCATGACAAGTGACCTCTGACCCGACACATGACGAGTGACCTCTGACCCGACACATGACAAGTGACCTCTGACCCGACACATGACTAGTGACCTCTGACCCGACACATGACGAGTGACCTCTGTCCTGACGCATGACGAGTGACCTCTGACCCGACACATGACAAGTGACCTCTGACCCGACACATGACGAGTGACCTCTGACCCGACGTATGACGAGTGACCTCTGACCTGACGCATGACCTCTGACCCGACACATGACGAGTGACCTCTGACCCGACGCATGACGAGTGACCTCTGACCCGACGCATGACGAGTGACCTCTGACCTGAGGTATGACGAGTGACCTCTGACCCGACACATGACGAGTGACCTCTGACCCGACACATGACGAGTGACCTCTGACCCGACACATGACTAGTGACCTCTGACCCGACACATGACGAGTGACCTCTGACCCGACGTATGACGAGTGACCTCTGACCTGATGCATGACCTCTGACCCGACACATGACGAGTGACCTCTGACCCGACATATGACGAGTGACCTCTGACCCGACGTATGACCTCTGACCCGACGTATGATATGTTGACAAACACTGAAACACAGAGGATAGAGACAACCAAAACACCGGTCATGAATTAGAAGTCTAAAATGAGAATGTTTAAAGAGAAATGTGGGAGGAGCTTGAGTTTGTTGCCCAGCTCTGTTTGAACCGCGAGAGGCGTCGACTCTCACTTAAGCTTACGCTACTCCTTCATCCTACATCATGTGTCGGGTCAAAGGTCACTATTCCGCCGGAGTTAGACTCGGATAGAGCCAGGATATTTTTTAATAAAAGTCCAATTGTGTGTGGCTGAAAGAAGGAGGCTTGAGGGCGACTAAATCATGGGGTAATGTTCATTTCTGGGTGAACTAGCCATATTTAAACATGATTTTAAATGCATTAGATAACAAAATATTGATCTACATGGTACTTATTTGAAAGAAAGCTCATTTTTTAAGTAAGCATATCAAAAAAATAAATACATTTGAATAAATACACAAAGCAAGCTTGCTAGGCTTTTAAATGATCATAAATAGATCCAAATGCAGAACCAGAGTGTTTATACATTTGTTACTGTTTGGGGCCACTGTCGTTCTATAAAAACCTGTGGTTTTAGTGCATCACATGACTCAGCAGCATTGTGGTATGTTGTTAGTATATTCTGGCAGTGAGTTTGATGGCATGGCAGGACCCAGTCACACCTCAGCGGCCCCTGGCTCTGGGTCCCACATCTCTGTTTCTGGCTCCCTAAAGTGAGCTCTCATTCTCACTGCTGCATGCAATTTCACGGTGTCAATGCCTCTCCCAAACAAACCCGCCTGCAAGAAATATTTAGCTCTTTACCTCAATGCATATGAACACGAGCAAAGACAGGAAATGAAAAGCTTGAATGTTTTTGCATGTGTAGGTGTGCCGAAAGCTCACATATGAAGCAGAAGACGTGCAACATTTTTAATGTGTGTGATAGTTTCACTCTGACTCACTCGACACTATAAGATACTATGACACCAAAATAAATATTATTGTTATTTACTGGTAGCAAACCTGATCCTCTCATACTTAATATGCTGCTTAGAGCAATAAACACACAATGGAAAATCACATCAAATGCAAATGTCTTGTACCGTGTGAGTTTACTGCCTGTAATATTCTGTGATACCGCCGATAGAATATTGCATGTCATATGTGCAAAGCCCCGGGACCATACGTTGATATTCCAAACATATTCTGCAAGAATATGCAAAGATAGTGTGTGCATAACACGCGAAGAGAGATGCTCTGGGAGGAGGAGCGCTGGAGCGTGGCTTTTAATACTGAGCGCAAATTATAGAGACCTGCAACACAACCTCAGTGCCTTTTAACGTTTAGATGCAGATGTTCAAAGCCCTCAGATGTGTTTGAACTGCACAGCCTAATAGAAATATATGATTCTGTCAAGTCGCTCTTGGAACTTGATTGGACAGGTGACAGCTTTCCTCCTAACCAATCAGTGTGAGTGGTTAGCTTGTCAAGCTTGGTTTTTCAACTGAGGAATCGAGTCGTTTTTAGAGCAGTGAGGTTTTAAATGGGATCCAAAAAGGTTTGGGTTTGAACATCTTTAATTTAGACATTATATCGTAGATGTGGTCTAAGCGAGGGGTTTTCAAACATTTCAAACAATTTTTTTAAGGTTTATACATCAAACATTGCTCTAATAGCAAGAAGAATACAACTTTCTACAATTAATATTTTGAGGTAATAATAATTTGCAATGGCTTTAGTGCATCAACAATATGAAGGCTCATTTTTAAATATTTATTTAATGTATTTTATATTATTTACCTAGACAGCAACAGTATCGGCCCAGTTGAATCCACATGTACCAGATGTGGCCCGGATCTGGGCCGACACTATGTTTCTGTCTGGGTATGTAGCCTATGAATTACATCATTTTAAATAAATGAAGAAAAAATAGGTCCCAAGCAAAGGGAATCAAGATATTTGGGGTACCTTGGTGTAAAAAAAGATTGAATCTAGGGAACTATTTTTAAGAAAAACCATTGTAAGTTTTGGTCTGTTCTTAACACTTTGAATATAGTCCACAAGTCCATGCCTTTGCATGATTCAATATGTTCTCATTGTACGGAAAAGAGCAGTGTGAACATTCTTCAGAACATCTTCTTTTGTCTTCCACGGAAGAAAGAAAGTCACACGAGCTTGGAACGACATGAGGGCCAGGACATTTTTCAGTTAAGCCACATTTCACTCAGATGTGGTGTCATAACCTTTATCTAAACTCAAGGACACAGGTCTCCCTCAGCTATGATTTGTCCTCTTGCGGATTCCATCAAAACTGATTGACGGCGTCGACAGAAAGCTGCTCACATGCGTGTGAAATGTAATTAGGGGCCCCGGAGCCCACGGGGAGGCGATAGACGTGTTTTTCCAGCACTGTAGCAGACACGTCTCCTTCATCGTTGGTGTTTAAATGAGAAGGTGCGAGGAGCATCGCTGTCACTCAAGAGTTTCTCCATTACGTCTCCTCTACGGCCGGCCAGGAGCTGTGAAGGAGAGGAAGAGCAGAGGAGGATTTGCTGGGAAAGACGGCTGAGTGCTGGTTTTTCCGGTTCCATTTCACCACGGGATTTTAGGGGGATTAAAGGGTTGGGTGAATTGGGATGGGAAGTGATGCTCTTGGGCTTCAGGCGAGGATGGCGCGAGAGGTTAAGGAGCAGGAATGGCTGGGATGAGCGGAAGTTTTCTACCATCACTTGCTGAGCTGGACTTTGTCCAGTCGAAAAAATCACAAGAGGCTTAACGGAGGCTAGCTGAGCAATATCCGCCATCCCGCCACTGCTGACTGCTGTATCCATCAGCACGAGAGAGAGAGAGAGAGAGAGAGAGATTATGGAGATGGATTTTGCTAAACTGAGAGCTATCAAAATGATAATTTAGGGAGAGGTTTCCACATAAACCTCAGAGAGGCATATACAAATTCATTTCTGTAAAAAAAAAGAAAGAAGACGATGACTCCTGGAGCTAGGAACAAAATAAAACTAATCATCAGGAGCCTTGCGTTAAAAAATAAATAATTTGCAATAAGCTGTTATTTTCATCATCTTCTAAATAACCATCTTCACGATATTTGTTCTCAGTCTGAAAATGCCTGGTTATTTCCAGCCTTGTATTTTTAGCAGAGCTGCAGAGATGAGCTCAAGTTTATCCCACAATCTCTAATGTGGAAGGAAGATTCCTCTAGACTTCTTCCACAGGGATCAACATACGCAGAGAGCTGTTCAGATGCCGTTCCAATCTCACAATATGGGGATAAAATAAGAAATTGTCATGTATTAAATAAAGAAATTCCTCCTCGCCCCTCTAACAGTGAGGGCTTGTGCGAGGACAATGCAGGCCTGAGGCACACAACTGTCTGGCATCTCGTCCCGAATTAACATCTCTCACCAACCAGCTGGCTGTTCAACTCTACGCTATACTGCCATATTTACAATATGTATTTGAAAACATGCATGGAGACCTGGAAAATCGCCCTGCATAATTGATCAGGATAATGTTTCATATTGAAGGGATGATGCAATTTTGTTGGCCAACCCAGAAGTTTGCATCACCCCGGCTCCCTCGACAAAAAGCCAATAGGGTTTTTATATTGATTTTTGGATCTCATCCCTATCGACTTCCATTGAGCTCAAACAGTAGAACATAGCGCTGGCAACACCAAGGTCGTGGGTTTGATTCCCAGGGAATGCATGAACTGACAAAATGCATAGCTATGAGTATCTGGAAAATGTATGAATTTAAGGTGAACGTTATTTTGCCAAGTACAGCGTGTTCCTGGATCAAAATCTTTATTTATCCTGGAGCAACTTTCCAAAACAACAAGTTGATAGTTTATGTCAAGTTTAGGCTTACAACCAGGGTTAGGTGCTTCTACATCAGTGTTATTTCCCTCTGATTTTAGGTATAACTTAAGGGTAGGGTTAGGTGTGGGATTATTGTATGGTTAGGACTACATTTGCAGACAAGGATGTTCACAGTGACCATGAATATAATGCATGTGAAGTACCTAAAATAATTCCAATGTGTCCATCAGTTTGTAAAACAAACAAAAAAGATGTGTATAACCAACACATTCTCATCCTTTGGCGTCATATAGATGACACCATATGACATTTTGTCGAAATCTTACGCACATCCTTTAGCGTCAATATAACACGCACTGTTATGGGTAGGTTTAGGTTTGGGGTAGGGTACGGTTATGACGCGTCTCATATTGACGCTAAAGGATGCCATGTGCGTTGGATTTAGACGAAATGTCAAAAGCGTCACATGTATGACACCTTGGGATGAGAACGGGCTGGTATAACAGTGTAAAAATGAGAGCATGGGCAAGACGCTTTAAAGGGTTTTGTGAAAACATTTGTTAGTGTGCCATAGAAAGGTTGTCCTTGTCAAATGTATGCACATATGTGCCATCTTGAGCTCATATGTTCATGCGCTGTATGGAAACTGGCACTCACAGAGATGCTGGTTGTGTTTGACTCAATCATTCAATATTTATTTCACACCTCATCATCTGAGAATGACTCATTCGTATATTTAATGTGGATTTCTGAACTCATTACCAATGTAAAGCTCTTCAGCAGGAGCACTAAGAACCGACTATTCTGCATTATGTCACGGTTTCATCATCTGGATTTTTAAAATAACTCTATATGAAGGAATTCATATATGCTACAGTCATGATCAGTGTCATCAGGAATCCAATGACAACATGTATGTGTTTATTAAATGTGTGTGCAGATGAACGGATGAGTTAGAGACTCAATCCAGCACTTTAGTGAGACATTTCAGGGTTGAGATGCTAGGGCATTTAGATCTGCAGTTTAATTGGATAATGTTCTCTCACACACAAACACAAACTAAATCTTTACTAA